ATGTGGTTGGGGGGGTACCTCGTTGGAGTGGGGGAACGGGCAATACCGTGTCGGGTGGAGGGGTGTACCTCATTGGTGTGGGGGGAGCGGGCTGTACCATGTCGGGTGGGGGTGTGGGGGAGCGGGCCGTACCATGTCGGGTGGAGGGGCATACCTCGTTGGAGTGGGGGGAACGGGCCGTACCATGTCGGGTGGGGGTGTGTGGGGGGAGCGGGCCGTACCATGTCAGGTGGGGGGCATACCTCGTTGGAGTGGGTGCGGTTCTGGTGCTTGGCGCGGTCCGAGGCGTTGGAGAAGGCCTTGTTGCAGCCCTCGTGCTCGCAGACGTACGGCTTCTCACCCGTGTGCGACCGCAGGTGGGTCTTGAGGTTCTCCAGGCGCGAATAGGCCTTGTGACAGCCCTCGAACTGTGCGGAGAGCCGTGAGAGAGATGCCCTCCCCCTGCCGCCCTGCGGGGCACCCAGAGCCCCCCCCCAGGATATACACGCCGACCCCACCCCCACTCTGACACCCCACCCCACCCCCGCACCCAGAGCACAGTCACGGACCCCCCCCCCCCGCAGGATCTGCACCCAGAGCCCCTCCCCAGTGCGGGAGACAGGGCTGCGCCCGACCCTTGGGAGAGGGGAATGACACACGGCTGTGTGGCCCACAGGGGGCACCGGCTGTGACCCAGCCGCAGGAGGGGGCCTGGTGCAGGGAAAGGGAATGGGACATGGGCAGGAGGCTGGCTGGCACGGGGGCAGGGCTCTGCGTGCAGGGGGGTTGTGTCCCACCCCCGCCCGGCTGACGTGTCTGGCCTGCGCCCGGCTCACACTCACCGTGCACTTGTGAGGCTTCTCGCCCGTGTGCCGCCGCATGTGCACCACCAGCATGTACTGCGCCTTGAAGGGCCGCTGCTCCCGCGAGCACTCCAGCCAGTGGCACACAAACTCCTTCTTCTCCCCGTGGATGTGCTCGTTGTTAATGTGCTGCGGGGGCGGAGCAGGGCGCGGGTCAGGGGGAGCTGCCAGCCAGTGGCCCCCAGGCCTCTGCAGAGACGGCTTCTGGGGCTGGCTCAGGGCACGGTGGTGATAGGCCGGGGGGTGCGGGTCGGGAGTGAGGGGCACCTGAGGGAGCTGTGGGGGCGGGAGCCCAGGGCTGGGCCAGCAGGGGCTGCAGGTTGGGAGTGAGGGGCACCGGCAGAGCTGGGGGGAGCCCAGGGCTGGGCCAGCAGGGGCTGTGAGTCGGGAGTGAGGGGCACCGGGGGAGCTGTGGGGTAGGGGGGAGCCCAGGGCTGGGCCAGCAGGGGCTGTGAGTCGGGGTTGATCCCGTGACGGCCTCGGGGAGGGGAGGGTCCGAGCCGGCGTCCACGACTCACGTGCACCAGCTGCTCCTGGGTGTCGAACTCTTTGGTGCACCCCTCCCAGTGGCAGTTGGTCTCGTACACGGCCTCCGTCTCCTGCTTCCCGTCCTCCTTCTCCAGCTCCTCCCGGGGCTCCAGCATCCCCAGCAGCGGGTCCTAGGGCAGGGAGGGCACCGCTGGCTCAGCCCACACACCCGCCAGCCGAGCAAGGCTGCACCGGCGGGCAGCCCCCACCCCCATGCTCATACCAGCAGCGCCCCCTGTGGGTGACGGGCGATGTGGCCGGGTTGGGGTGTCTGGGCCCAGTGGGAGCTTGGGGTAGCCTCCTGCCGCCGGCCCCGGGTGCCCGTAGGCGACATGTGCAGCGAGCCTGGGGGCGGCTGCTGCGGCCGATGCTGGGGGGCTGGACTCCAGGCCTGGCTGGGGGGCGAGGGGGAGTCGGACCCTGCCCGTTACCTGCGTCCCCGTGGAGGCTGGGCTGGAGACGTCGCCCTCCGATCTCTCCTCCAGGCCGTTGGTGCCCAGGGCGGCGCCCAGGCTGGGCTCTGATTTCATCTTTATTGGGAGGGGGAGAGAAATGTGATGAGCTCGGGCAGAGGGGGGGCCCGTGGCGCTGCCGCTCCTGCCAGGACGGGGTACCCGGGCTCCAGCCTGGCAGCTTCCCCCCCCCCTTCGCTGGGGCTGGCGGGTGGGGCGGGGGGCCTGTCTCGTTAAACACCCCAGACTCCAGTGGGGACGGTTCTCAGCGCTGCCCCCCTGTGGCCATTGTGTGTCATGCGCTTGGTGCTCCCCCCCCCGGGCGGGGGCCCCTTACCTGGCAATGCTTCGGTGTCCCGCGGGGCGGGGGATGGTGCAGGAACCCCGGCCGGCCGGGGAGGTGTTCATGGGAGCCACAGGGGAGAATGGGGGGGCCGAACGCTGCCCCTTGCCCCTTCGGGTGAGCCATGGGGCTTTGGAAACCCAGGGACGGGCTGAAAGTCAGAAGGAGAGTGAGTGTGACCCCCCCCGGAGGTGTCCCCCCCATCCCAGACTGTGGGGAGGGGCCCATCGCTCCCGGCCTTGGGCCTCCTGCCATGTGTACAGCGAGGCAGAGGGGCTCAGCCTGCCCCAGGCCCCCTCCCCGCACTTGGCAGAGACTCAGTCACTAACCTGCCCCCCCCTTGCCCCTCCATGATGTCAGTCAGGATCGCTGACACATAGGGAAACTGAGGCACAGAGCGGCAAAGGGACTTAGCAAAGGTGACAAGATGGGTCAATGACAGAGCCGGGGATGGAACCTAGGAATCCTGGCTCCCAGCCTCCCTGCTCTAACCACTAGCCCCCACTGCCCTCCGAGCTGGGGAGAGAACCCAGGAGTCCTGGCTCCCAGCCTCCCTGCTCTAACCACTAGCCCCCACTGCCCTCCGAGCTGGGGAGAGAACCCAGGAGTCCTGGCTCCCAGCCTCCCTGCTCTAACCACTAGACCCCACTGCCCTCCCAGAGACGGGGCGAGACCCAGGCTGCTCTAGCCTCTGAGAGTTGGACTGGACGGGCTGACAAAGCGCCTTTCGACCGCTCGGCTCAGGCCAGGCCAGCTCTGGGTCCCGCCCGCCCGGCGCCCACCTGATGGTGCCAATGGAGAGGTGCCCGTAGGAGCCGCTGGCCGAGGCACAGCGTGAGTTGATGAAGGCCACCAGGGAGTTGGGCGAGGTGCGGATGACGGTCTGCAGGTCGATGCTGGCATCGGACAGTGGCGAGATGGACAGCGCCCGCTTCTTGGTCAGCTTGGCCGCGCCGCGGGGTGTGGAGAACCGGGACCCTGGGCCGGGCAGAGACGGGGAACCGGGGCTGAGTGTGCGTTTGCCCGCTGGGCCCTGATGCCCCTTCCAGCCCCGTCGCCCGTCCCCCACAGGCAGTGCCACTGGCATGAGCACAGAGCGGGCTGGGGCATCTACTGGCAACCCCTCCCCTTCGCCCAGCCCCCAAGGCCAGCCGGATCCCCCCGGGCACCGACCTACCGTCGGCATTCCCAGCATGCTCGCTGCCCGGCGCCAGCCCGTACCCATGATGACTGCCCATCAGGTTGGCCTGGTGGCACATGGGGAAGTCGCTCAGCCCTGGAAAGAAGTGGGGAAGAGAAGGGGGGGGACGTTAGTCCTGGGCTGCCTCCGCCCCCACCCCTCCAGGGCTTGGTGCTGGGGGCGGGGCGGGGGATGGACGGACGGAGGGTGGGA